CTCAGTACCCAAGCCAGTCACAGTCTGATGGGAAGGACAGATTTGATTCTTTCCTAGCTCACCTAATTTAAGCCACAAGTTCTCTAATGAGGAGCCCTGATGGCGCAACAGTTAAGTGCTTGGGTGCAAACTGAAAGGTTGGCATTTTGAAACCATCCAGCAACTCTGGGAGAAAGACCAGGCAATCCACTCTCGTAAAAGATTACCCCCGTGGGACATTTCTGCTCTGGCCCATGGGGTCCCTGGGAGGTGAGAGTGGCTCCATGGGGCCCAGCAACAGTCCTAAAGGAAGCAGTAAACCAAAAACCAGACTCACTGCTGTGGAGTCGGACCGACTCATAGCGACCCCTCCTTGGGTTTCCAAGGAGGTATCACTACAGAAGTAGATTGCCTAACCTTCCTTCTGAGGAGTGGCTGGTGGGTTTGAACCGCCAGCCTTCTGGTTAGCAGTCAAGTGCTTTAGGCACTCCACCACCACACACCAAACCAAATCCACTGCTATCAAGTCAATTCCAACTCACAGCGCCCCTAGAGGACAGAGTCAAACTGCCCCATAGGGTTTCCAAGGCTGTCAATCTTCACAGAAGCTGCTGCCTCATCTTTCTGCCACAGAGTGGCTGGCTGGTGGGTTTGAACCACTGACCTTTAGGTTAGCAGCCCAATGCTTTAACTGCTACCCTACCAGAAAAAGAAAAAGCAAGCGATTCAGAAAGTCTTCAAAGAGAGACAACAGTGGCTGCCGTCTGCCAAATGGGCTGTGTTCGAACCGCACGTGTCTAAGGTTTAGCGTGAGCAGAGCACCGGGAAGGAGAGCGTGTTCTTCCAAACTGTCGCTCTGCACGCCCTGCTTAGGGCTGTGTCTTGCTCAGTGAGGAGCTGAATGCATGTTTGTTGAATTAACAAAAGGATGATAGAATCCATGAACAAACCAAGTGGTGATGAAAAGAAAATCATCCAGACAAAGGGATGTCAGGGCCAAGATTTATAGAGGACCTTGAATGGCGGGCCTCGAAGCTGAAATTGAATTCTGGACTCCTTGTGGTTGCCGAGCAGGGAGCGAGCTGGAGACGCCTTGTGGTTTTGAAAGCAAATTCGGCAGCCGCGTGAAGTGTGGCCCAGAAGGGGTGCTGCTCCTGCTTTGAGTCAGGGACGCCAGTCCTTGGAAGCTGTGCTGTTCCCCATGGGCAGGAAATCGTGTGGAAATCTGGAAGGCTGGCCAATGGCTTCTGCCGAGCCGGCTCTCTGGCCCTGCGTTTCCCGGGTCGGTACTGATGCAATGGTGTTTACTAGAGGCCGCAGGATTTCCATCCGAATTCAATTAGGAGATGCTGCTTGTAGAGGAGCTGGCATTTTGCCATACTTTTCCAAGCTGGAAGCTGCCTGCTGGCCACGGCAGGAGAATCTGCCACGCCTTGACCTGTCCCGGGAGTGGGCTGTCATGTCTCTGTGACACTGACCGAGGTGAGAAGCACGCACTCCAGGTGTGTAGGGCCACCAGAGAATAAGGAGTGCAGACCACCGAGCCCGGGGTCCCTGGGTGGTACAATCGGTTCACGCAGCTGCAGACCAAAAGCTGGGTGTTCAAGTCCATCCATGGGCACCTTGGCAGAAAGTCCTGGCCTCCACTTCCAGAAAGTCAGCCACTGGAAACCCTGTGAAGTACAGTTCTGCGTTGACGCACAGGGCGTCCCCATGAGTCAGCATCAACCGGATGGCAGTGGGTACCATTGGGTCTCTTGGCACCAACCCCATTGCTGTGGAGTGGATTCTGACTCACAGCGCCCCTAGAGGACAGAGTAGAGCTGCCCCATGGGGTCTCCAAGGCTGTCATCTTTATACAACTAGACCGTCACATCTTTCTCCTAAAGAGCAGCTGATGGTTCCGAACCATTGACCTTTCCCTTAGCAGCTGAGCGCTTAACAACTGCGCCACCAGGGCTCCTTCCTCTAGACACAGACCTTGATCACTAAGTGAACTCGCCTCCCAGTAACGTGCGAAGGGCTTGTTTAGACTCATCTCCTGCTGCTTTTGCTGCGGTGGTGAAGAGGCTGGGCTCAGGAGTCGGTAACTGTACCTCGACTGTGCCCTGTCTCCCGTCACCTTTCCTGCAGTGACTCTCCCGTCATCCAGGCTCCCAACCGTCCTGGGGTCACCCACACCCCATGCCTTCCTTGAGGTCCCTCTAAGAGCAGTGGAGATGTGCTCCAGGAAAGCAGCCCACTCCTGCCGGGCGTGCTGAGAAACGTGCTTCCTGTCCTCGAGGTGACGTGTGAGCAGTCAGAGGGGTGACAGCGGCAGACTGAGGCTCCTGACGGGACTCACCTGAGCTGTCCAAGGCCGAGCCATCCTCGCTACGGATCCCAGGGCTTGGCAGTCCTGGACTCCAGCCGGCAAGTGACAGGTGATGACAGACAGGAGGCCAACACACCATGCACGCTCATTAAGGGGCACCCTTACCCTAACACAGCGTCACAGGGAGTCGGTCTGCACGAGGGAGAAGGCTGCTGTGGAAGACCCGGGCGGCCACGTTCCTAGCCTTTACCGATGTCACTGCCGGGCCACCAGCCCTGCCCTCTGCTGCGCTGCTTGTCAGGCAGAACTGCCCATAGGCCTTTCTGGGCTGTAATCTCTATGGAAGGAAATTGCCATGTCTTTTCCGTTAGCGGCTGAGTGCTTTAACCACTGCTGTACCCGAGCCACTGGATGGGCTGTAACCACCAACGTCATCGTGGTGAACGCTGGGCTCCTTTCTATGCTTGTCATCTCATTTTATTTACAGGTTTGGTGGAGGGACTTGGAGAGTGTGAACTCTTGGAGCAAACCTTGAAGAACACGGACAAGTCTATGTCTTTATGAGAAGAATGTGTTCCTCTGACTGACTGACACCCCCATCTTGCCTTCCACCCTCCCCTCAGCCCACTGCAGTCGGTTTCTGTGCCCTGCATGCTGGCGAGTTCACGTCCAGTAAGGACACCAGTGAGCCTCTTAGCACCAAAGCCAGGGACCTCTCTGGTTTCTCATTGTGCTCAGCGTCCTTGGCCTTTGGTTCTGATGACAGCACATGACTCTGAACTTTCTCCTGGTGAGCAGGCCATCTCGGCTGCTCCTGGTTCTCCTCCCACCTACTTCTCTGTCTGTCTGTTGGTATCCTTCACGGTTCTTGTCCATATCTTCACGTTTAATATTTGGAGATTTCCAGGATTCTGCCCTTGCTCCTCTTCTCTTTGGGGACACACACACACAGCAGTATGATGCACCCACTGGTGACTTCATTTGTCCTCATGCAACTGCTGACCTCTGACCACCCTTCCTCATGGCTCCAGTCACTGGCTCCTGTAGCAACATGGACAGCTGCACCTGATACTGCTATGGCTTGAAACGTTCTAGACAATCTTTTTGTAATTGCCTTTTGATTTGCCATCCTCCGTGGTGGCAAACCATCCCTGTTTATTATGGATCATTTCAAATATATTAAAAAATCAACACAATAGTGTAATGAACAATTATTGACTTAAAACCAATCTTACTTCATCTAAGCCTCTCACTCCACCTTTCTTTTATTAGGATTATTTTGAAGCTCATCCCAGATACATCATTTTATCCATAAATGTTTCAGCATGTGTCTCTAAAAGATAAGGATTCTTTAAAGAACATTAACCACAATACCTTTATTCCACCTAAAAAAATGACAGTAATTTCATAATATCATTACATGTTCAGAGAGTTTAAAATTCCCTGTTTCACAAAGATTTCTTTTATTGTTTATTTGTTCAAATCAAGATGGAAGTAAAATTCATATATTGCAGCTGGTTGGTATCTCAAGTCTCTTTGCTTTCGTGGTATTTTAAAAAACTGAAATATAAGACACAGAAAAAAGTTCACGGATGATAGTAGACAGGTCAATGAGTTCCCCAATTGCTTTTAATCTCTAGAATGGCTTTCTTTCTCTTTTTTCTTTTGCAGTTTATTGAGCAAGAACATGTCTGCCTTGTAGCGTTTCCCACGGTCTGTACTTTGGGCCCTGGTTTCTGCGGTGTCACTTACCTTGTTCCTCTGTTCTCTGTACTTCCTGTAAGTTTGTGGCTACACCTAGAGGCTTATCAGATCAGGCCAATTTTTTGGCAAGCACCATTTCTCTGAGAGGTCTCTGGGAGGACTTATCAGGAGGCTTCTCAGCCTTGGGATGTTATTTCCTCAAACTGGCAAAAGCCAGACAAAGCTCATTCTAGTGACTAATGTGGGCGATCAGGCTGGAAAATGATGGTTTGAGAGAAAAAAAAAAAAAGTATGATCAAGTCATGCATGGGTTTCCTGTGTGGTTGGTCAGCTGGCCCTGAAAAATGTCACAAACCGCCCTGTGTAAGGACAGCAAGGCTGGAATAAATGGGCAGCCACTCAGGGTGACTAATCTGAACGGAACAACAGTGACATTGACGGAGAAATTGTATGTTGGTTTAAAAAAGACAGCTTTGCTGTGTGGGTGGACCTGCGAGGTGTCCCTCTAGAGTCATGAGCTCCTCTCAAGACCTCAAGACCCCCTAAATGTCTGTGTCTCACGCATACATTTTAAAACCAGAGCTGGTGAGGACCCCTCCTCTCTTTGAAGACCGCCCCTGGACCCCTATCTTTTCTTGACCCCACAGCCTGGGCCTAGGGACAACTGGAGGTGCTAACAGGCATGCTGCCGCATTCCACCCAGCCTCTCCCATGCCTGGCGTTTGCCTCATCGCCCTTCCTCTGCAAGAATGCAGTCAGGGCAGCGCAGGGGGAAGTCAGCTTCTGAGCAGTCAACAAAAAATGAGGAAGTCCAAGGGGACCTCTGAGGTTGGCCGGGCAAGGCTTTAGAGAAGACAGCCTGGCCGCCATGCCGGGGCCCGCAGCAGGCCAGGAAGGTCCCCAGTTATTTTGACATCGCGCCCAGTTCCCTGTTCTAATTCAGCTGAATTCCGCCCCCGCCCCACTCGCAGCCCCTCGAGTGACTCCCTCCTCCCCCGCCCAGCTACTCGCGAGCCCCGCCCCTCGCCCCCGGCACGCAGGAAGTGGGAGGAGCCAGGGCCGACACCTTCCCCGGACTCCTCCTCCAGCCCCGGCAGGAGCTAGCGCCTGCGCAGCTCGGGCCCAAAGCCGGTCGTCACTAGCAGCCCCCTCTCTAGCAACCGTTGCCCGCTCCCGCCTCCACCAGTCGGAGCCGCGTCCGCGCACGCGCGCCCCTTCCGGCGCCTCGGCCCCGCCCTCGTCGTCACCCTTAACAACCACTCGTGCCCTGGCCGTGCCCCTCCCGCTCCCGCCCTCGGCCCCCTACCCGGAACCGGCGGTGGAGTCGCGGCCGCAGAGCAGTGCAACAGCGACGGCAGCGCGGAGCCGCCGGCATGAGCGCCCCCCGCCGCCCCGCGCCCCGGCCTTTCTGACAAGAGGTAGGCGCGTCGCCGCGGCGGGTCCGAGCGCGCCCCCGGACCCCGCCCGCCGAGGCCGGCTCCTGGGACCTTGCGGACTCCCGGCCCCGTCGCGCCCCAGCCCCTGCAGCTTGCCCGAGCCCCTGCCCGGAGCCGGCAGCCGTCGTGCCCTCCGCGGGCTCGCGCCCGCCGCCCCCTCTCGTTGCCCAGATTTCCCGGGTGGCCTCCACCGCCGCCCGCTGGGCTTCCCGCTGCCGGGAGCGGAGTTTGGGCTCCGGAGTCGGCCCGTAGCGCACCTCCTCGGGACTGCCCGGGACCGGGGGCCCCGCGGGGCAGCCGCGCCGGTACCTCTGACGGGTCCTGCTGCCTGGCGCCCGGATCCGGCTCGGGGCGGACTCACCGGTCCGGTTTAAAACATCGATTGCCGTGCCTCGGTGGCAGCCCTGGTCCACGAGGCCACTTGGCCGCCGTAACTCCGGGTTCCCCGTAGGACGTGGATTTGGAGCAGAGCTTCCGAAGGGGGCGCCTGACGGGCGAAGTGTAGGCGCTTTGGGTTCTGCCAGGCGTGGAGTCCCGAGTGGATGGGGCTGTTTCTTAAACGAGCATTATTTCGCAGCTGCTCCCATTTATTACACCAGGTAATCATTCTCACCTTATCAGAGAAACCTCCTAAAATTCTCCCAACTCAGTTTTTAAAAGACTGTTGTGGACCAGTGTTGTAAGGTGTGCAAAACTCAATAGAACCTGGTCCCAGCGCCCCAGGACAAGCCAGCCCCACCAGCAGGATTGGACTTGGGGTTGAGTTTGGGAAAGAACTTCTGGTGCTTTTAGACCTGTTCTAAGATCTTCTCACCTAAAACCTCCTTTCACAGACATGAAACTTGAGTTCCGGAGAAGTCAGGTGACTTGCTGGAGCTCACCCAGAGTTAGTCCTTAGCACTTTTCTCCCTGTTGCCTAGGGTCACCCATTCCTGCCAGGTATGCTGAACGGAACATATCAGAGAAAGTTCCAGACCTGTTTAAATGGAGTGACACACATAGGGCAGGGCTTTTCTGAAACAAAATATGTCTGTGAACTTTTTTTATCGTCCGGCTGGTCTTTAGGCCCCTTCAGCACATTCCGTTTTGTATTTTTGAATATCCTTTTGCCACTTTCAGCATAAAGTACCATTCTTAATGATTGGCTTTGGCTCGTCTTCCCTTTTAAAGAGGGAAGTAGCTGAGGACTCCAAGTGCAAGTGTGTTTTTGGAGAAGTTCCCATAGGCGTGGACTGAGGTCTTCACCTACGGGTGATTATGGACCTTGCAGGAGTCTTTGACAGGGGGCTTAGGCGTCAGCCTTTCATCTGTTGTCTCCAGATAGCGCAGCTGTTGGAAGCACAGATTTCAGCCAAGCCGCTTCGGCTAGCACGCTGGCACTTCTGCGGTTTCAAGACAGTTCTCTGAGATTGTAGTATACGGAGTGCAAAAACGGGGTTTCACGCAAGCTGCTTTCTCATTAGTCTTTGGGGAGGGTTCACTGATTGGAGATCCAGGAGTTATTTTTTTTTCCACTTTTCTTTTTTGTGTATCTCTGGACCTGATAGCGGCGGGCTTTCATTTGTTCTCTAGTTGAAGAGAAGATGATTCAAGAACTCCTTCTGTGACCGGAGCAACTGAACCATAGCATTTCACAGCCAGAAAGAACTCAGGGGTCCTCCAACCCCACCCAGTCCTGGAGAGGTGCAGGGGTGGGGCCCCCGGTTTGCTAGTGGCAGGGCTGGCGTCTTGCTTCATCCTTCTCCTTGTCTTGTCACCTCCTCCTGCCCTGCATAAGGAGCCCTGTGGCACAGTGTTTAAAGCGCTCGGCTGCCAGCCAAAAGGTCTGTGGTTTGAATCTGCCTGTTGCCCCGTGGGGGAAAGATGGGCTGTCTGCCATGGGTCATCTCTCCTCTGCCCTTCCAGGTTTGCTGTGGGTCCCAGTCAACTTGATGGCCATGGCCTTGGCTTTGGCATGGGCCCTTACATATTGAAGTCTTTTCTTCTGTGATTTTTGGGTGCACAGAATGATGAGCTCCGGAGGCCCCTTTCTGCCGTGGGTGTGTCGAAAGCGGCTCGTGTTTCCCCCATCGTGGCATTTACTCACTCACTGTTTTGCAGGTGTGAGTGGATCCCTGCGCTGTCACAACCATGGTGCAGAAGTACCAGTCCCCCGTGCGGGTGTATAAACACCCCTTTGAATTAATTATGGCTGTAAGTACTCTTCGGTTTACTCCTCCACTGCTTGTTTTTTGTTTGAAGTCGTGGATCTGTAAATTTCTGTTTATTTCATGGTTTGCTTCCCGGCTTCTCTTTCACCTACTGTGTTTCTGCTTATGAACCTTTTCTGGCTTCTGAATATCACAGCTGCACATTGATGTTTTTTAAAATGCCCTTAGGGAAATGGACAGAGCTGCGTGAGCTCTCCCTCTGAAGACACAGAAGTGGGATTCTCACTGAACACTTCTGCCTCTGCGTTTTAAACTAGCAAAGACATGTGGGTTGCGCTGTCCTCCCTCACTGCCTCCCCTGTTGGCTGGGAAGGGTGCCGGGTTATGGGTGAATTCACTTTAGGTCGCCCAAGACCTGAATGTTCCAGGCTGGAGTTTACTCATTTACTCAGATGATTTTGTTGAAGAGTTTCTTCCCTTCAATCAAATTTGTATGCCCAATTAGAATGCTACAAATGAGCTAGCTAAAATTGTAATTAGAATGCTACAGATGAGCTAGCCAAAATCTTGGTTTTCTTTGTTATCTATCTATGTGAAGAGTTTGGCTGAAGATAAGCGTTTCACTGGATGTAAAACAAAACAGGACAACAATAGCAAATCTGTTTCTAGTCACCGTTAGATAGTGTCAGGAACTCTCGTGGTGTGGTGGTAAGGGCATTTGGCTGTTGACCAAAATGTCAGTGATTTGAACCCACCAGCTGCTCCGCAGAAGAAAGATGGGGTGGTCTGCTTCCGTAAAGATTGACAGCCCTGGCAGGCCCAGTGGGGGTCGCTATAAGTTGGAATCGACTGCATGGCCATGAGTTTGCTTTATTTTGGTTGGATCAGGGTGGGGCGTTTCTTCCCTGCCCTCCCCATCCTGGTCACGTTGAAGGTGTAATAATGTCCAGAAAAGTTCTCCACCATAAACACACATCCTGATGAGAATACTTCAACCTGAACACGCCTGCGTGGCTGGCCCCTAGAAGAAGGAGACCATGCACAGCCCCCCAGAATCCCCTGGCTCCTTGCGGTCCCCGCTTCCACCCCCACCCCTCTCTGAGGTAGCCACTGCCTGACTGGGAGCGTCCAAGGGTAGCGGCGGCCGCGTCTATCCTTTAATAAAAGCACAGGTCTGGTCGGTACCTTGGGTCTGGCTACTGCGTGCTCCACGTGGGTGTCAGCTTTTCCCAGGTCAGTGTGTTGAAAGCAAAGATACATGGTTTACAAAACGGCTACAGGTTTTTCTCAAGGGGGCCTTTAAGTTGAGTTTTGGTTTTGTTTTATTTGGGGTGTGATTTGCATACAGAGATGGCCATTTGTCTGGTGTACAGTTGACAGGTGCTGACAGACTGCAGCTGTAAAGGCTTACAGCGGTTTCATCCCTCACCTTGCCTGCCTGTGGGAGGGTTTTTGGGGGCGCTGAGAGGGTTTCTGGCTGTCACCTGGCTCCTTTGTGGATGTTTAGCTAGGACTTACGAGTGTTTGCGCTCTGACGGCGGAAACGACTTGTCCTAACAGGAGGTAGCCTCTGATTTGCACGTTACGTGTTTGCGTGTTTTGTGTGCGGGCTTCATTTTGGGGTTCGGAACAAAGCCCCGTTCTGGTCTGAGGACTTGACTATGGGGAGAGCGAATCCTGTGGAACCCCAGGAATGAGGGGAAGTGGGTATGGCTGACTCCAGAAGCCTGGCGAGGAGAGTGGTTCCCCAGGGGCTCTGGGCCCCCGGTGGCAGGTGTCCCTGGAACTGCACCCCACGTGACTGCCAGGCTCTGCCTTGTGCCCTCAGGTCATGTGCGTTTTCTCAGTGCCCAGAGTCCCAGTGATGCCAGTTCCGCTTGATGGCATTTCTCGTTGTGTGGTTTTCTGTTTCTAAGTGACCAGTTCTTGAGAGGAATGACCAGCCTGTGGGTGAGGGGCCCTAGGGTTGCCGGCTTAACCTTGTTCAGTTGGCTGGGCTGGTGGGAGGTGGGGGAGGGAAGGGAGTGGGTGGGGTGGGGTGGGGTGGCAGCAGGAGAGGCAGCTGCCTTCCTGAGGGCTGGGGGCAGAGCGCGGGCCAGCCGGGACTGAGTTACCCTGCAGTGAAACCTGCGAAAGCCGGAACCCGCGTAGGCCGTGTGGGACTGAGTCTGTGTCAGCTTGGCTGGGCCTGGCTGAGTGGCTGGGCAGCTGGTGGTAGTTATTCCCCATGATGAGACTGGCAATCACTCCATGATGGGCTCTACCACGAGTAGCTGAGTAGCTGCTTTAGGGATGTGGGCTGCTTCCTGTATATAAGGAGAAGCCTTGGGAATGGTCTTTAGCCAATGGCACGCTTGGACCCTGCATGGAGCCGCGTCGTTGCTCAGAGCCTACCATGCTCTGTTTACCTTGGGACTTACAATGGACTTCCTGCCGTGTTGGGACTGTGCCTTTTTACTTGTCAGTCTTCTCAGCCTCAGCAGCCAGCAGCTGTCTGAGTGAAGAAATGTCTCTAGCTCCAGTGGGCAGGGAGCAGGCGGCAGAGCTGGACCCCAAGGTGGAGGGGCTTTCACCCAGCCCCTAGAGCCCGGCACTTTGAACTTGGACGTAAAGCCTCCACATTGTAAGAGAATAAACTGTTTGTTAAGGCCATCCCATTAGTGGTATATTCCTGTCAGAGCGGCACTAGGGAACCAGAACAGGCGGGAGCCTGCCCAAGAAGGAACCCACAAACGTTTTCCACCAAACAAGCCACAGAGAAGTGGGAGGACTGCCCCTGTCAAAGGTGGAAAACCTGTGAGACCTGGAAAACCCCGGCGATCCCTTGAGTTCCAACTGTCGGAGGCTTCACTGTGAGATGTTTTCCAAACATTGTGTACGTTTGGAGAAGCACTGGATTTCATGAAGACGTGTTGTGATTGTCTGATTTTGAAACTCCCTTGTTTTCAAAATTGTCAGGGTTGCCTCTTGTGCATTTTATTCATGGATTTATAGAACTGGAAATTCAGCTTATTCCAGATCCCTTCTCCCCCAATCTTTTAAAATTTTGAAGCAGTAGTTAATATATTTTTTGAGTTGTTAGAAATATTTTTAGTCTGGAAATGGACATGTTCCCTTTTCTCTCCAGAGTTAGAGATGTCAGTTAAGTCTGCAGTGGTTTTCGAGTGACCTCATTCGCCCCTCTTTTCGCCCCCTTTTTGTGAATCTGATTGTATGACATAAAATCTTCAATATTTTCCTTGCTTCGTTTTTTTTCTTTTGTGGAGATAAAACAATATATACTAGAATCATTCTGAAAACGTCCGCCCTTCCAGTTAGGTCCAGAGCAGGGAGAGGTGACACACAGGGAAGCTGAGGACGAGACCCAGAGGTTCACTGAACCGTGAGCAGCGGCCGTGATCACAGCACACGCCGAGTGCGGCAGGTGCAGGGCTGGGGGGGCCAGGGGGTGGAGCCTTGTCCCGACCGCAGGGTCCTGAGAAGAGACCGCTGGAGGAGCGGTGCTCATGCAGTGCTTCCTTTGTTTGCCTCCGGAGCCCTAGTGGCGCAGTGGTTAAGTGCTCGCTGCTAACCGAACGGTCCTCAGTTCCAAGCTACCAGCCACTCGGGGAGGAAGATGTGACAGTCTGCTTCCTAAACGTGACAGCCTGGGAATCGGCCCGAGGCGGCTCCATTCTCTAGGGTTACTGTGAGTCGGAATTGATTTGATGGTAACAGGGCTTTTCTGTTTGTTTCAACCAAAAATTTTGTTGTGATTTAGTATCGTCAGAAAATGGTTGAACTAGAAAGTGCTTGGTGAGAATCACCACATGGTGGGTAGCAAGTGCCTTCATCGCCTTTCAGCTGATTGAATGGAGAGTTATCGTTCGTGCAGGGGCGTCATGCTCTTACGCAGAGGTTGGTGGTTCGAACCCGTCAGCAGCACCACCGGAGGAAGACTGGTGATTGCTTCTTTGAAACTTATATCCAAGAACAACCCCTGTGACACTCAGTCCTGCCCTGTAACAAGTGGGGCGCCGTGAGATGGCATCGCCCGGATGGCACCGAGATTGATATCGGGAATCACATTACTACGTTCTATACCATTTGAATGGAAAACAAGCAGACGTTTGTCAGCAGGCGTTTGTGGAATTTCTGGGGTGTCCCTTTGTTACATTAATCTAGAAGGAATGTTGGACTGTGAGTCACAGAGACCTCCCTGCCCAGCCCTATGTTGGGGGCGAGGAGTCGCAGGTGTGGGGAGGCTGAGGCTGCGCCCTAATGAGTGTGGTGACCTCATTCCAGAGTCTGGTATCTGCCCTGCCGGCCTGCCCCCGGACAGTGCCAGCCTGTCACTGTCTGAAGGTCCCTGTCCGGAAGATGTCCTCAGCTCTCCTGGGTCTCACCCTGGGGCTCCGCCTGGCTTGTTGGGAGAGAAAGTCACCCATGAAGAACACACTAGCTGATGGTGCCTTAAGGGCCTATGGTTGCAGATGGGATCCCACTCAGGACTGAGAATGGGGGGCCGGTAATTCTGAGAGACTTGGCTTGGAGTGTTTCTGT